ATCCGACAGCAGGTGTATGCCCAACGCTCCGCGCGAGGCATGGCCGGCTGCTGCATCTGATGTTCGTCTGGCAAGGATGAAGCAGATCCGACTACGGATGCAGCAGGTGTATGCCCAACTCTGTGTGAGACATGGTAGGAGAGGATGTAGTTGTTGATGGCATCCGGGATAGTCCGCGCAGCAGGGTCACATACTTTCCATGACAGCTTCCTGGAAACATGAATGACACGTGGCATGTTGCTGGCTTGCCAGCAGGAGCGCAGGGTGTCGTTCGCTTTAAGCATGGCATGTCAAGGCCACAACGGCATACCGGGCAAGTAATAAGAGGGTGGGGGGGGATGAACGCAAGACACCAGGTCACAGTTTTCGTGGCAGAGGCTGGCAGTGACCATCCCTTCATAGTCTTCGGAGCATAGATTGTGTCGCGTGCAGGGGCTAACTGAACTGTAGCTTTGTAGAGACATGATGGCATGGCACAACCACCGTCCTCTGCCGGGGGGCCCTTGACTATTCGTGGCAGAATCTGTCCAATCTACACAGGGAAGGGATGCTGCCTGGCCATGTTCAAGGGGGGGGGGGGTCAGCCGGATTGTTCTACGGAAGCTGTAGAGCTTGCAAGTGCACATCCACGTACTGTTCCTGATTGACCAGCCATACCAAGTGGGATTCTGCCACTCAGTGATAGAAAGACGTAATATTTCTAATCGTGTGCACCCTACCCCCGTGGCCCCACAGGGTCCATGAATTAGCCGCAAAGGTAACAACACTGAACTGACATCAAACGATGCAGGATGTACGCACGAATATTCGGGTCCACGCGAGGGTATGTTATATGTGGAGTGGGATGGAGTTGCAGTCGTTGTCCCATAACTGCCATCGACAGTACTTCTATGTTCACACCAGGCGCAGCACTGTCATCCTTCGGGCAGACGGCACGCCACAGAAACAGTACGTCTATGTTCACACCAGGCGCAGCACTGTCGTCCTCCGGGCAGACAGCATGACACAGAAACAGTACCTCTATGTTCACGCCAGGAGCAGCACTGTCATCCTCCGGGAAGACAGCATGGTGCTCCTCGTCTCTCTAGCGGACAATATTTGCAAAATCAGAAACAGTATAGGGGCTGCAACTGTGTGTGTGTGTCTATGTCTGTTTTAAACTGTCGCCACGGCGAAACCCCTTTCCCACCCAGGTGAGTAGATCCAAAACTGAAACAGCCTTCGGTAACTGGCGATGATCACACACAGTGCAAGATTGGTTTCAATGTCCCTTGTCGAAGCGCCACATCCAATTTTCTGAATGGATACAGACAGATATCACAGGTAACACGGCGTCCACACCCGAGGAACACAGGTGTGGCGATTGCACTCTTGTGTTTCTGTCACATTGTGTTCACATAACAGAGTTTGTGTGGCACTGTTGCATACTTCGATGAGTATGGGCAGAACCAAAGATCAACCAATATAGGATGAGCATGTATGCAGCGGAAGTCTGATAAACAAACTGACTCACATAGACTGACCTACATGGCATCACTCCACACACATACAATCATGAGATGGTGGGGTCTGGGTCATTCATAGACGATACCCAGATCCCGTACACACATACACAGATGAAAGGTGGGAGGAGAGACGAAGGAGGTRGGAGGTAGATCRCACCGATAGGTCACAAAGATAGAGTCTGATAGGTCTCCGAAACGGTAGTCCAGAATGTCATATAACAAGATCAAAATGTCGAGGACCAAAGGTCACCAATGTCGGAGATAACAGAGTCCAGATGTAACCGGTGTCCAACTGTGATGAAGCCGAGTATCAACCTCAACAATCTCCAAGTCTCCAATCAGGTAAGTACCACAGTCTCGTATCACCGAAATCCAACTCTGATCTCTGTCCAACTGGATAGTCTCCAATCAGGTAAGTACCACAGTCTCGTATCACCGAAATCCAACTCTGATCTCTGTCCAACTGGATAGTCTCCAATCTGAAGAAGAAGAAGAAGAAGAAGAAGAAGAAGAAGAGGAGAGAGAGAGAGAGGGGACTGGCGAGGGAGAGGAGGAGAGACCCTCCAAGCTCCCGATACCTCAGGCGGTAATAACCGCCGTGCAAGCTCAGTCGCCCGCTGCTGCTCCGCTCGCTGCTGCGCTATGATGCGCTCCTGCTTCAGCCCCTGCGCTAAGTTTAGCGCATCAAACAGTGCACTAGCACTGACCATGCCGTGCCGGTAGAGTTCCGGTAGGCCGATCCCACTACTGAGGCGGATACCGGTACTTATACCGGTGGGCAATGGTCTGGCCTCAATGCTGCGAGGCCAGGCCAGACCCTGAACCGTCCAGATGGACGGTTCAGCCTCAATCGGCGGGCGGCAGCTTCAAGAGCGC